ATGGGGGTGTGTGTGTGTGTGTGTGTGTGTGTACTCTTCTCTAGTGGAAAACGCAGCGTTTGCATTAGGTTGCATTTGGGATTTGGCTGGGATGGGGGATGGAAATAGGATGATCATTAAATATTTATCATCAGCAGGTGTAAAACACAGGTTATCTGGCACTGGGCAAAAAAGTCATCTGCTCTTGGGTTTCCTGCCAGCCACAAAGCAACCCCAGCAACAAACACAGCTCTAAAGAGGGTTGAGTAAAGGAGAAAGCTGAGATGTCCCCTCTGCACCCCTTTAAAAAAAAAAAAAAAAAAAAAAATAGAAAGGTAGATTTGCTTTAAGAATATGAAATATCCTGTATACTGTCTTGCTTTAAAGCATCTGAGGACCAGGTCCTTGAAGTCGGTGGATACCAACCCTTTATCTCTCTTTCTCTCTCTCCCTCCATCCATTCACACCACTGGAGCAGCCATCTCCTCTCTCTCTCTCTTCCCCCCCCCCCCCATATGAGAAATGTGTTCATTTGTTTTGAGGAGCAGTGTCTCCATACAAACTAAAGCTGTGATGGGAAGATCTCCCTATGTGGGAGCAGGTTTGCCTACACCTTGGTAAAGGAGGCTTTCTTCTTCCTTGCTCTCCACAATCCTATTTTTGATTTCTTCCCTACACCTCTGTCCTCTGGGATCTCCATTGCCACACACCTGGAATATGGTGTCAGGAAAATTAGGACTTGAGTTGAATGGAAACATGTGGACCCTAGCCGGGCTCGCCCCATGTCACCCCATTGAAGTCAATGAGCGTTAAAGGAGGATTGAATTTGACACTTGCACAATCCCTCTTCTCAAAGGGTCCCAACAGGTTGCAATTCATAGGCATTTCAAACCCCCGTCCACCTCAAATTTGATTAATTTTGAGGCTGTCTCTTGCCACTTTTAAATTTGGGTTACAAATGTACAGTTGTGGCTTTGCCAAAGGCTTCCATAACGAATGTCAGTGTGGTACAATAGGTAAGCTGGACTGGGGCTTGAGACGTGGGCTCTATCAGTGGCTTCATCGTGTGACCCATTAGCAAATTGCTTCTACTCCCCATACCTCAGTTTCCCCATCTGTGCAGTGGGGGCACGATACTGGACCTCCCTTGCAGAGTGTTTCTGAGAGTTGACTGACAAATTGCAATCCATAAAGGCTGGTGGTTTTAGCTGTACTGTCAACCGTTGTTGAGACCTGTACTGGAGGGTGATCTAAGACTTGGCCAAGCAGCATACCTTGGAGGGATGTGGGGACTCTAAAATGGGGAAAATAATCACTCTAGCAAATGTTGAAGTCTTGTATCACCCCCTTGTGCACGCTCATCTCTCATAGCTGGTAAGTCTGCCACTTTGCAAACTCCATGGCATGCGACTTCTTGCCTCTCTCCATCAGGCTGTGGGGCAAGCCCTGGCCCTAGAAAGGTAATTAAAAAAGAAACAAAACCCCAAACCCTGCAAAAAAACAAAAGCACCCCCCAAAACCCCCATAACCCATAGCTCTGGGAATCTTGTACTGTCTCAAGAATGAGTGGTTCCCCTCTGCTCATCGTGGGGTGAGACTTGCAATGTTCTGCATGACAGGTCTTTCCAAATGGCTACAGACCTTTATAGAGAAAGAGCTGATGGCTTCAAGTCAATCTGCCACTTAAAACTATCCACAGTTGGAGACAACTCAGCTCTATGGATGCTGCCTTTGAGTTGAGAGTAGGAATACCATTGCTGTAACCAACTGGTATGTCCCAGTGGCAAAACTGACTCCTTAAGATCAGTTATGGGCTGCAGATTGGGTCCTTCTGTCTCAAAATTCCCTTGGTTTGACACAAACTCAGACTTCATTGAATCGTAGAAAATTCAGGTTGGAAGGGACCTCAGGAGGTCGCATCTAGTCCAACGCCCTGCACCAGGTAGGACTAGCCCCAAGTACATCATCCCAGCCACAGATATTTCAAGCAACTCTACTGAAGTTTGTGGACATAACGTGCTATATAACGGGGTTAGATTCTTGTCCCAAACCAGTGCTGTATGCAAAACCAATTTTGGCATTTGCATGGCTTTAAGACTCAGTGTGTCACCTGTAGCATTGGCTACTGGAATTGTTGCACCCTTTCTACTGATGCAGCAAGATCGCAGTCTTAAATTGGTACTAGGGAGAGAAAGTCTAGCTGTTGCCCTCCACGTCTTTAATAGCTATATCTGCCTCCTTGTTAGTGCGTCTCTTCCTGTGTTTAGACTGGAACGTGTTTAGTGGTTAGCTAGTCTAAATGCAGTGGAGATGGGAAATCTAGCCCAGCATGACTAGCAAGCATCTGTAAACTGATGATCCACAGAACGGAGCCGTAGATGGTCTAAAGTAGTTGGCCCACCAGGGAACTTCTGCTGTCACTTGAACTGGGCAGATGGCTGTCAGAGGTGTAAATCCAAGACCTTTTATGGAAGGATTGCATTTTATCTGCTCTAACAATATTAAACACCCTTTGGTTTTGCAATGAGTGGAATTTTCTTTGGAAGAATAGAGATGCATGGTAGCAGGGGTAAGCAAGGTGAATAGCCATTCATACTCCTATCTGTCAATGCAGAATAATTCTGTTGTAAGCAGCACTCTCTTGGGCTCCCCTTCATGCCAGTGGCCCCCCTTTCCTCCATCCCCCAGTGGGCTGTGCAGCCAGGCCGCGGCAGCCATGAGGACTGGTGGCCCCCTCTGGGGAGCTGGCATTTTTTTTCAGTAAGTGGGTTTTTTTTTTTTTTTTTTTCACAAATGTTCCAGGCATTGCCCCCCTTTGGGGGCAAAGACATTTTTCAAAATTTCCGGGATATTGG